GAGTAGCTCCTTTGTAGCGAGAATGTGAGACACCTCAAATGGTTAGATCAGCGCTATAAATAACCTTGTTATTTGAACAGTAATCAATATAAACCAAAGCGTTATTGTGCATATGTGAAGAAATGTAATCGATACTACAACCTAATCATCGTCATATTGATACCTTTCGTTAAATCAAATTTTTATTCTTTTCTTCATATTTTTTTGTCAAATAATCAATTTCACGAGACCCAGTATGGTGGATAACCTATTATTCATACCGGAAATGATCAGGTGTTAGCCGTAGCACTTTTAGAAAAGTCAATCCTACTGGTAAAAGAAAACAGAAACGGGTTTAATATTTTTAGTCTTTCACAGCTTTGTAGACGACCGATCATGGATCACATTTCATCATGGTAATCAAGCACTCATTTTTCTTCAACCCCATATTTGAAAGATGTGTCAGTTAAGTTACATCATCTGCTAGTAGAAACTGTCTAATATTTTAAGCACACGATTAATCAGCTAATTAATCGCTTTATCAAACTTTCGAAAGCTTAATCAACAATTACCTGAAGAATTTTGACGGCATGGGAACTATATCAGTTCTTTTGAGTACTACTATCGCCGCTAAAAAGCAGTGCCGGTGACTGTTTTGCGAATAACTCTCAAACACAAAATATGACAGACTTTCAATTTTCACCATGCTACAGCCGAAACTTGACAGCATCGTTCATAAACAAAATATTTTTGAAGTTATTTCCCAGAAACTGACTTTTCGAGGCTTATCTGAAAAACTATTTCATATCTTAAGTTTGACATAGCAGTATGTTGTTGTTTTTTGTTTCTCAAAAGGAATTCAAAGACCTAATGAAAACCTATATTATGTGAGTAACCTATTTCTGCATATTTCCATGCATAATTAGAAAATCTACTACTCACTCAATCTAAACTACGTCACAATATCCAGATATACGCTATTATATCTACAGTATACCATAGAGTTTAACAGAACTTTTGAACAACCAAAATAAAATACATCTGCAAAGGTTTTCTAGAAATTTTCCGAAGTAAAAAAATACGTTTCACTAATTTTAAGTACAGAATTATATTCAACAGATATAACAGAGTATATCTTGATATTGTGACAGAGTTTGGATTTATTTTGAGTGAATAGCAAATTTTCTAATTTTACGTAAAAATACGCAGAAATAGGTTACTTCACATAATATAGGTTTTCACTAGGTCTTTGAATTCTTTTTGAGAAATACATGTTGCCACTAGATTCAGCCTGGTTAATAACCTGTTTCGATTTATTTTCGGGATTACCATATCAAAAGAAATGTTTATTCTGGGGCTTCCAAGAACTTTGATGCCACGCTAAACTACGCATAATTGAATGGTTGCTTAATTGCCATTTTGAAGAAGACCCTTTGGGCTATCAAACTATGAAAAAAACACACTGCTATGTCAAACTTGAAGTTATTAAATGGTTGTCCAGAGAGTTCTCGGAAAAGCACTTTTTGAGAAATAATTTCAAGAACGTTTTGCTTATGAATGATGTTATCAAGTCTCGGTTGTAGAATGGTGGAAATCGACAGTTTGCAGCATTTTGTGTTTGAAAGTTATTCGCAAAACTGTCATCGGCACTGCTTTTTGGCGGGGATAGTAGACGGAGTTTTATAAGTAGCTAACATATCATGCGTTGAGAATAATTTCTCTCTAACTGAATTATTTGATTGCTCTATAGTATAGGAAAAAAATATTACAGATTTTATTAGTGAGAAAATGACGAGCAGTTTATATATTTAGAAGTACCAGTGACAATTATACAAGGTCAATCCACGATTGTAACAGGGCAACCGGTTACTGTGGCTCGTCAAATGTAGAATTCTATGCAATTAAGAATTGGAATCCAATAAAAACAACATCTGATAACCGAGCAAAATTTACTGTTAATATATTTGCATCTTCTTATCCTTTTGTGTACGCGTTAATAAAATTTATATTTGTATAAAGCCTCTCTATATCACAAGTCGTTTCAATCTTACAGAGCTCATACCACTCATTTTTACTACAAGGTAGTAGCTTGGTATTTCTAACACGTTGACACTGAATTTTCTTTTTCTTCAAAATAAACATATCCACACAAACTAATACGTCCGATATTTATTCTTCTGGTGTCTTTGAATAATATATATATCATAATTCAATTATGAATTTTCATAGAAATATGATTTATAGATTGAAACAAGTAAATATAAAAGGGTTCTTTTGAGAGAGAACAACTACTTGTCACTCACGACACTCAATTGTTGTATTGTTAATTGAGTAGTTACAATTGAAACAATTGTTGCGGTGGTGTTGACTTGAAAGGATCAGAATGAAAAATATAGTCATTTTTTTATACATAGTGTGTCATAGGCCAAAAAGTGGTGCTTTCGCGGTAAAAAGCGTGTACACATACACACACACATGCGGTACATTACGGTCATATATCTGGCATAGTCGAAAACCTGTAAAGATATGTAAGGAAACCCTATAGCAAATCCTACGTTTAAGGCTTCCTAGTTCTAATTCCTAATTCTTCATACTTTAAATCCCATGCGCGAATGTAATTCTTCGTGATCAATTTGGTTCAGTTCGTCTTCTATATTTAACCTATTGTCTGTACAGTCTAAATTTTGCTGAAAACAGTTATATTTCTGTTTGAAAATAAACAATTCAAAAAAGGCATCTGTCTCAATATATTTTGGGTATTTATATATGCGTTGTTTCATTCCATCAATACCATTGCGATAGAACGTAGAGAGATGGATTAACGCTACCATACGTGTAACCAGTAGCTGATTTATTAATCAGGCATTTTATTTCAAGTAAAGGCACAGATACAAGCCCCAGTAAAGCAAAGTACCAAGGTATAAGTATTGTAACACCAATCTATTCCATTATATGTGTCTCTTTTGTTATGATATTGATAGAAGCAATATAACTACCATTACAGAAATAACATATCATACTCACCCTCAACCCCGTCAAAGATATTGACCGATGTTTTGATGTAAACTATGAGCACATTTCTATGAATAGGAGTAACTGGTTATGCTTTCCATTGCTGCGGTTGTTTTACTTTGTCGATACAAAGTTGAAAACTATGTCGAAGTCAACAATTTATTTCTAACTTATAAAGTTTAAAGAAATCAACTAGTATAATATCTGCCAGTACGATAAAATCTGTGAGAGACCTATTCCACGAAAATGAAAACAAATTAAAAGACCGTGTTTCTTCGAATTTTAATCCAATTAGTAGTTTCCTATAAAGCGCTAAATATTATGCGCAGAAAAAGTGGATGAATGCTCTCTAGAGGCCCTCTGAAGATCTCGAGAATATACTCATTGGATGCACCATAGTTGATTAACTATAAAAGGGTCACCGAAGGATCGTCAGGAAATCTCCAGAAAACCGTCTAGGATTTATTAAGGTATGAAGCTCTCACAAAATATTCAATTTCCTATTAACGCTCGCTTTCGGACATCAAATTTTGATGTTTCCGAAAAGGTTCTTTCAGAGATTTAAGGATTTTTGGACGTATAGATTTGCCACTGGATCCACCATAGCTGATTTTCTATGGAAATCCATTGTATCAAATTTATCCCTGTATTTCTGAAAAGGTTCTCTATAGCATTCATAAAGATTCTCTGACAACATCGAGCATGGGTTCATTAGATTGCACGATAGTCGATTACCTATGAATTCACGCAGTTTGTGATCAGTATTCCAAGTTTAGAACTAGTAAAAAGATTAGTAAATTTGATTTAATGAATCTGATGAATTTATTTTATTTTATTATTTTCTCTACTAACAGAAAAAATTTTTATTCTCCGCTTCCAGTAGCGTTCGATTCAGCTTTGTTCGGGCTATAAAATGAGATACCGCTATAAATTTTACCACCTTCATAGATTCGGTCTAGTCCCTGAAAAGCAACTGATTCGAGCTTTTCGAAAAGTCTGAGTGATTTTTTCGAGTCAGTTGCTTTTCAGAGACTAGACCGAATCTAGGCTTGCACCAGTTCCAATCTTAAGCTTGGAGGATTGATACCAATCCCACCAATCTCCAGTTAGGCTTGGGTTTCAAAAAATATATGAAATACGAGACTTAGTTTTTTATAGTTACGTGACATATAAAATCTGCTCCGTTCTTCAATTACAGGCGTCTTATCAAGATTTAAAGTATGAAAATACATACGAAAATCATGATCGCTAAAAAACGCAAAATTCTAAGGACGGGTATGAAAATACCTTGAAAACAAATTTTGACATGGCTAAAAACACAAGAACGTTGAAATGTTCATGTAACAGAAAGAAAAGAATTTTCCTCTCGAACCAGATGAGTTAATACAAATAAGTTTTTATAGTGTATACTGTGTCTGCGTTAAATCCCTCACTGTCGTTGTTTCACTGAAAATTGACTTAGAAAATTTTCAAAATGACTTCTGCTAGTTTTCCAACACATAAGTGGTATTAACTTACTCATTTGAGTTTGTCATACACAAATATCTTCGTTAAAGTGATTGATACAGCAAATATCTTTGAGGGCTATGAACCGCAACTTGATACATCTAATTGAAATACCCAATTAAATATCACTACTATACTATGTAATCCAAATAGCAGGGATGATAGATCAAGTAAAGTTGTGTTTTATTTTAAAAAAAACATTCTCCTCTGTTCACTCTGTTAACGTGTGTTTGCCTTATAAGAGTACTTTCTTTTGTTGTACAAAAGATATGACTTGACAACTAGATGAAGTATTGCAGCTAACTAGTATAGTGTAAATTATAAAACATTTAAATATTAAACATAAAACCTCAACTTTTTCATTCGGTATCATTCTTATCCAATAGTTTTCCAGATTTCTGCTCTTTCTATCTAGATGGCAATTTTGTTCAATATTTGAGATAAATGTGCAAATGCTGGTCGCTCATTCGGGTCTCTCGCGAAACATCGCTTAATAACTTGATCATAGATATTTTTTGGACAAGTATCGGGTCTTTCGTGTATAATTCCATCTTGAACTGCGCTTCTTATCCATTCTGGATGTTTGCCCGGATAAGGATCATCACCTTTCGTCCACATTTCTATAAGAACAATACCATATGCCCATATATCAGATTTTAGAGAATATTTAGAAGTGTCAATAAATATCTCGGGTGCTGTCCACCGAAAAGGGAGTTTTTGTTGTTGAATGATACGTCTAATGTCATTATTTTCATTATTGGTGACGAGCAGCGACAGTCCAAAATCAGCTATTTTCACATTGTTGTTCGTAAGTAAGATATTTCTACATGCCAAATCTCGATGAGCATAGTTATGCTGTTCCAAATAGGCCATACCACGACATGTCTGCCCTGCATACTGCATGAGTCTGTGATCACTTATCGCGGTAGACTGGCTTTTGAGATAAGATTTAAGATCGCCTTGCTCCATGAATTCGGTGATCATTAGTTTCTCATGTGTAATGGGATCGATTGATGTGCCGAACAATGAAACGAGATACGTACTTCTTAAATCCTGCATGGCCCGTGTTTCTCGTTCAAATTCGGAAAGCGCTTGATCAACAACCGTTAACCGTTTAACTGCTATCATTACAACATTTCCATTTTTTTGGTGCCATTCACCTTTTTGTACTTCACCAAACTCTCCGCGTCCGATCACATGGCCCAAAGCTAACTCATTATAATCGATTTTCCAGAGTTCGTCTTTATTAATGATAAAATCTTTACTGATGGGTTCCTTCAAAGGAATTCTGCTGAGTAAATCAGGATCTTGAACAAGGGACGAAAATGATGAATAGGATTTGTGTTTCAATTTTTCTTCTAACGATAGGTAAAACCGATGATTTATTGGATCGGTTTCTATCAAATAATGCCAGCAGAGAGTATTTCGTTCTGGATTTGGTTGATTCACACTCAAAACATAATTCTTTTTGTTTTCGCTGCGACGAATGAGGTAGCTAAATAGGACATTATATTTAAATAGACACCGTTCAATTGTACCTTTATCAGTAACACCAAGTCTAATGGGTGTGTCTGGATCTAGTTGTACGGAATTTTTTGGAACCTGACCAGTCTTAGCCGAGCGAAGATGTCTCATTTTAAAAAATTGATTGTCTGTATTGCAAATAAATTCAAACTCGTCACCAACGTCAAACGAAATACCATCCGCAGTTTGTGCTTGATAAGAATTTCGAGCAATATATATCGGTTTCAGTAATTGCAGCTGTTCGTTATCCGATGCGTCGACTTTTGTTGGTGGTGGCGAATGAACTATTGGTCGAGGTGGGATGGGAGGTGCGTCCTCTGAGAAATCTTCTGTTACTTCTATTGGGATAGTATAAGGATTTACCCCAGTCGACGGTCCTTCCGGCTTTGAAGGGTCAGTGTTACGACCACCGAATATACGAGCGCATAAAGAACCCATTAAATATCAATTAAAGAAAAAAAATAAAGCATTCGTCTCACTGAAAAAAATCGATCTTTTATTAAATACTACTCTGATGCATTTCAATGCATTTGTTTGAAATGAATTTCTATAACTTGTACCTTTATCCAATAAGATTATAAAATAAAAGTAAAAGACATACTTAAAAGAGGAGTTTATTGTTCTTCAGTAGTGTGTAAGTCGTTTTCTCTGAAAGTTTTATTTGATATCAACATAATAATACTTTGCCTCAAACATGTATTATCTCGTTATAGACAGAATTGAAAAACATGGCCTACCTGTTTTGAGTCAATAGTATGAAGACACACGTTTTAGCCTCTTGTTTTTTAACGAAGAGAAAAAAAACAAAATAAAATAAAATAAAATAACGCATGATACATTTTGAGAAACATGAGATTTTTATGCAAATAAGCGTACATTTACCCTTGGCCATTGTCATGAGCCACATATGGACACTTATCTTTTCTTGTTCTCCTCTGGAATCTCTTGCACATAATGAAAGTATCGCACATCTTTTGTCAACATGAGCCTCAAAAGTATAAATGATAAGGGAGCATTGATGCTTTATTGAGGAAATCCAAGTTTCTTTTTATGCATTTGTCTGTCAGATTATTTCGAAAACTGAAAGTTCGACTTGACGCGGTAACTCTGCTATTGCAGTGTCATTCCGTCAAAACTTTTTGTATTTTGTTTCTTTTATAATTCTAGAATGAGGACAAATTCAGAGTTCTGCAACGTCTCATATTAAAGAGAAAAGAGTTCTGAGTATTTAGACTTTGGCACACTCTACACGTTGTCTTGTTTAAGCTAAAGTAAAAATACGAACTGCTACATTTCAAAACTTATCGAGAAAAGTAACAATTCGCAATTTTGCTTTAGTTTCTTAAACAAGGCAACGTGTAGAGTGTGCCAGAGTCTAAAAATACGCAGAACCCTTTCTCTTTAATATGAGACGTTGCAGAACTCTGAATTTGTCCTCATTCTAGAATTATAAAAGAAACAAAATACAAAAAAGTCTTGACGGAATGACACTGCAGTAGCATAGTTACTAGATCAACCCGTATTCGGTTTCAAATACATCTTATAAAGAACGTGAGAAAGCAGACATAAACGGGAAAAAATCTGGTGTGCCGTTCTTTCATCGAACATAACAACTGTAGTTCTACTTGAATCAGATAATTGAGACACTTCTGCCTAATAAAACTTCCTTGGGAAGCTGAGAGAACTGAATATATAAAAAGCGTGTATTTCTAAAATATGCTATAGAAAAGCAAATAACAAAGAGGAATCAAGGAACTGAGTCAGTTCTGCTGACAGTTCTTCAGTTCCTACTGAGTTGTGACACGACATTTCGTCGAACGACATTTACCGCGAAGACTAAATGAACCTGATTTTGTATTTTGTATATCATGTTTTGGGACCTGGGTGAAGTTATGTGGTGAATAGTCATTATGTTATACAGTTACAGATATATAGTTTCACGTCATAAAAACGTGTATTGTGTGAAACTACTTTTC